TTTAATATTAAATTTAGTAAAAAGTAAATTTAAGTTTTATTTATGAATGAACGAACGGATTTATGGATAAATGTGTTTAATAATATATCTAAAGTATTGTTCTCGTTAATTTCACCAAGACGATTCATCGATCATCATTATCAACAATTTATTAGAATAACTGAATTTTTGAATGTTTACTGGTGAAAGAAATTTCATTAAAATACTCAAAAACTGAAAAGATCCCATAAATTTTATTTTCATTCAATTCAGTTAACCTTATTTATCTTTTGGTTACTTAACAAACAATTTCATACCAACCAAGTACCAGTAAGCTACATATTTTTTTCCACTTTCGTAACATATCAAGATATTATTGCTATCTTATCATTAGTTCATTATCATTCCACAAATGATAGATTTATCATTTGATTAATCGTTTATAGTTCAAGCGAGCAAACTTATATTGATGTGTACTATTAATGGTTTTTCTCTGTTATTCTCAAGAGAATGAATTTTCACTAAGGTGACCGCACAGTTTGTCCAATATATTCGAAAATGAAAATTTATAAATATTTGGTTTTTATTATTTTTATTATTAGTTTTTTCTTGCCTCTTTGTGAATTAAAAAAGAACCCAATACTTTGCTTTTTATGTATTTAAAATTTCTGTTTTTTATAAATACTTTAAAAACTTCATTTTTCCATTAAATATAAAATATTTATAAATAAATGGAAAAAAGAAAAATGTAAAAGGAATAGAATAATTCGATTGTCTGAAATAAAGCCAAAAATGATCAGCCTTATTTCAGTAGAGATTTGATAACGTTATGCGTTTTCGTGAAGTTTGAAAATTTGTAGTTAGGCATGATCGATATATTGGGGAACGCTGAATTGAATATTTCATGCTAATTTCCACAGTTACACTTGTATCTTAATTTTAAAATCAGGTTTCCTCAAAGAATATATATACTTACAAATCTAAATCTACCACACTAAACAGAACTCTATATGTAGACTATGCAAAAACGCCGCAGAAACATATAGTGGCAAGATGTAAAATGCCAACACGAAATACACTGCAAGGCATAACCAAATAACATTATCTATATGAATATCTGCTCGGCATATGACTTAAATGGGAGATTCCTTAGAAAATCGTTAAGGCAAAAATCCTGTGGGACTTTATCCAAATAGGCAAACAAATACTGGCCAACCAATCGGCCATCATGGTGGTAGATAAGAATCAGAAATTAGCACTAATAGTCACAGCAATACCAATTATTAAAAAAAAGGAAAATGAGAAATATGAGAAATTAAAGAATTACCAAGGGCTGAAAGAGAAACTAGAGACTAGAAAGTGAAGGCCAAAGTAATCCCACTAATAATTGCAGCACTTAAAACTATTATTCTTAAAATTGAATAATGGCTTCAGTGTTCCAGGAACAACATTAGAGATGTCTATTCACAAAAGTGCATTATTAGGAATAGCTAAGATATTGCGTAGAACTCCAATCTCCCAAGCCTCTGGTAGAGGATCGGTTGAAGGTGATCATGATTACTCACAGGGAGGTGAGAAAAAAGTATTATGGAGATATGGAGATGTCGGATAAAAAATTTTTACCAGCAATAATCGACCTGTGTTAATGACTGGTATCTTCTTATAACCAACTACACTTTATAAATTCATCTACAAAATTGTTTCAAATCTCATAAATATAAATCTCATAAATATAACTATAATTGACCGAAATTATTTATAATAAAAATGATAATTAATTCCATTCATTATGAAAACTTTTCTATGATGAATGCAAGAGATCACAGCTTCGCTAATAGAGTTGATGACTTGTGGTTGTGACCACATTTTTTTATACGCATTCTTATATACTTAAAGCACACAAACACCCTATACCCGCATGTACTCTCAGGCATTAATGATTACATAGGGGGTATTAATGACGACCCTATTACTTTTCTAGAGTTCCACATTTAACAACTGTCAGCAGAATCTGACGATTTGCGCCGAGTACTGTTAATTTATTAAGATTGTTCTCTTATAAAGAAAGTTACCTTTGCTATGAATTTGCGGCTTAAACTGTCGAATTTACAATAACTCTTTGCTTATGGAAACTTTTTGAACGAATCAATAAAACTAAATAGAAATGAAATGAAATAATTATAATTATGCGGTTATGAATTTGAACTACAATTTGTTGCAAATAAAATTTATTCGCGAAAAAATTACACTATTAACATAAAAAAAGAATAAGTTCAGATTCATATATCTTAGATTGAATTCTCGATGATATTACTTCTCAAGCGTTTATGCGAAATCAAATCGAATATTCACAATAAAAATTATGAAAAGTCTAAAATTTATTAAATTTATTCCTTCGTTTAATATGATGCATTCATTAAACGTAATGCGTGCAGTAGCAAATATAATTTTGGAACGATTTTAATAAGATCGGTGTTTGTGGGCTTGTAAGTCATGGATTTCTTTGATCAGATACGAGAGTGGGCTATCGAAACCTTATATCAGATGTAGCATCAAGTTTCGTCTGTTGCAATACAATGTGAAAAATCCATTTAAGGAAAATAAAATTTTGAGTATACTTTTTAAGGTCCATTTTTAAGTCATTTAACTCATTTATAATTGTATAATCTTATTAAGTCACCATTACCTTAAGTCTTCAGCATCAGCTTTGCCACCCTCACTCTTTTTTTATAAGGCAAATTTTTAATAATAAAAATTCCATGGATAAGAAATTTTCAATGATGTGTAGTCTGCTTTATTCTTGGGACTGTAATATACTGACTGCAATATATTGATGCTTATTCCATAATACCTAATATAGGTCTAATATAGGTTTTGTATAGTTAAATTATAAAAGAGGAAGATAACATCCAAAGAAACAATTAAATTGGAGCAAGGTCACTTTGCCAAAATATTACCAATGCGAATTCCAATGTGATTGTATTATCTATCGCGAATAGCGAACCAAAAAATGAATAAAATTCTTCAAATACATAAATGTTGCGAATGTTATATTATATTACAGATCTCACATCCCTAATATTATTTTTTTATATGTTTTTGTTACCTTGATTTAACAAACCAGTCCCTTTTTTTATAGCTAAAAAACTAATTTGCATGCGAAATCCTTTTCTCATAACCAGTCTTATCACAATTTATGCTGTAATCAGTTTTTTTGTGCATAATTGTTAGAATATTGTTGTAAACCACTCCCTCTAAATGTTTTTATATTATATTAATCAAAGTTCCATATATATTAATATGTGAAAAAATGAAAATTTGAATAGAATAAAAAAAATAAAGTCAAAATCAAATTGCTCAGATTGTCGAGACTCTCTGGTATTCTACTCCTGTGTTCAAAATCTGCCTGATCCCCAACTAAGTTTCGACACTTGAGTTCGACTTCGCCAATTCATTCTACTCAAAGGGTTTCTCCACATTATCTATTTCCTTGACAATACTGCCCCATGGCAAAATGTGAGTAAAATTTCTTTTATTAGCATATCTAAAACATTTGAGAAAAAATGAATTGTATACTAGTCATCCAATTCGAAGTGCAACCTAAATCTTCTTGTACCAAATGCAAGAAACCATATGGATAATAAGATTTACAATCGTCAACAGACATATGATGGAGTTTTTAACATAGGTGTTATCATAAAAGCAATTTATGATCTACAGTTTTGCAATGACGTGCTATTCCTTTTTGACTAAAAGTAAACATTGTTTTCCACAAAACTGGATACCTGTTGTTCAGCAGTTCTTTAAATAGGAGAAATAAAAGCAAAGGTATAGCTGTAGCCAAATTCTTACATAAAATCTGGAGAGAGATCAGAATGATTTGAGAGGCATTACACTAAACTGAATAATTATTATCGTCAATTGCGAATTATTATTTTAACTCAAGGATTAATTATCCTAACTAATTAATTATCCTAAGCAGCAAGGTCCACTTGCTATTTACGTTGGCGAATGCCAATTCTTTTTCTTTGCTAATTGTTGCCAGCCAACATAAGGCAGAAGATCAGAAATAACAAATTATCTTTAAATAAATAATTTGTTTGGTAAGTTGACCGCTCTACGGATGGCGTGGACGCATACAGCCAAACTCTAAAATCAAATCAAAGTTTTGATTTTTTTCGTTATTTAGAAATATTATTTTTTTATTTGTAAAATTCTTATTTTTAAACAATATAATACCTGCGTTGAGTGGCTTTTGTTAATTTCCAAATTTCTTAAAAAATAAAGGTTTGATTACCCAAGATTGAAGGTTGCGCGTGCGACTAATTAGAGTCATCATTATAATTCGCAGTACATTAGGATTCAAAGATAAATCATTTGACACGCTTTATTATTCCTTGTACGATTATATTTGGGTAGTTTTTTCAAATAATATTAAATTCAAGATTTTTTATTAGGTAAAAAATTTTTAATTTCTTTCTTATTGCGTTCTAAGGGATTTTTATCGACAAAAAAGCTACCAAAGTGATCTTCAAGTGACAATTTAGATCGGCAATAATTCCAAAATAAAGAAGAAAAGTTGAATCCCCAAATTTACTAATTATATCAAAAGTTGTTAAAATTTTAAAGTGCTTAAAATTTTCTCATTTACATCACTAGAAAATCACTAGAATGAATTGACTAAATTCCAAATTAATTTATTGTAGAAGTAGGATAGCCGAGCATTATGACCGAGAATATTTTGATTCCGTTTATGTCCATAACAGTAAAGCTTTCAGCAAAAAACCTGTGCAGCTGGGAATGTTTCCATAGGCAATGACTCACTGGCAAAATTATCTTATGTTATTAGAAGTAGAAATGTGTCTTAGCAGAAATGATGAATACTAACCCTTACTTATTTAAATATATGAAGAAAATTTAAATTATAACGTGTCTTTGAACCGATTTTACTTTCATTAATCTTTTTTTCGATGTATCACTCAAATTTCAAGTAAATTTTTCTTCTTGACTTTTCTCGAATTTTATTGGGCCAAATATTGAGTAAGAAGGCAATCAGATGCAAATGGCATCGGAAGTAAATCTTTCAGCAAACTTTTTGCTAATTTGTTTGACGTTGATGACACCATTATCACCTGAACATATTTTTTTATAGATATTATAGTTTTTCTAATTGTTCTTCACTGTATTTTCTTCTACGAATACCGTCGACGAATGCAAAATTTCCAACTTTAAAGTTAATTCTCCTTCAAAATGATTTCTATTCACCTTTTGTTACAGATGAAAACATTCTAAAAATTCAGTATAACTTCAAAAATTAGTCAAAAACGAAACAATGAAGGAGAAACCTGCATATCACCGAACTCTGCGAGAAATTGTCGACAAATGCCACAAGGTGACGCTGGTTCTTTGAGATTTGTGCAAATTGCAATTGCTTTGAATTGTTGATAGCCTTCGGCAATAGCTCTTACAATTGCACTTCGTTCAGCACAGATTGTTGCGCCGTAAGATGCATTTTCAACATTTCCTTTATTTTTGATTAATTTTATTCTAATTTTCACGTTTGGATTGCAGACAATGAAAAAAAAGTTCTGAAGGAAAACACAAAAAAACATTAAAAAAATACCACCAGTGATTATAGAACCATTGTTTGTTAATAAAGCAGCACCAACTCGAAAATTACTGTAAGGACAATATGCTCGTTCCATTGCTTCTCGAGATGCATTTATCAGTAGTTCTTCATTCATTGTTCAGTGAAAATTTTCTGAAAATTTTTAAACAGAAAATGAAAATTTTGAATCATTTAAATCGATGAAGCCTAAGCCATTTAGTATAGAATAGGTGAATAAGTAAGTGGTCAGATGGGTCGCCCGCATGGGTTTTTTGACAGATTTACTCTTGTAGAAATTCTTGCCTCTCAATAGGGTGATCTGAACAATTATCAATTTAGTTAGCCTTAGGCTCGAATATTATTTCTTTTCCCTACTCTTTTCAAGTTCATTAACCATTTCAGATATACCAGGCTTTACTTATAAAAAATCATGCTGAAACAAAACCCGGATTTGGCTTTATTATGAGGTTTCGCTCTCGTCAAGAAGCGAATCATGATTCTCCCCGCTTTTCCCGATAATATTCCATTCATTTATTGGGAAATATAATCAGAAAAAAACTTCTTAATTACTTAAAAAAAGCGAATTGTAAAAAGATTTTACGAAATAAATCCTAAATTGCCCTAAATTGCAATTATGGATTGAAGAAATGCAGAATTATATATATATATATATATATTAAAATATTATATTATTAAATATATTAAAATAGAGATATTTTATGAAAATTTTAGCAATTTCAAAAAGAAAACCCAATTGGAAAAAACGTGAATGAATATAGATATATATTTATATGCCCTCGGATTCAAATCTGGCCAATAGGTTTCACCGCGTCAACAGAAGGTAGAATGGTTCATTTTGATGCTGGGATTGTACGCAGAAGTAGACCTGTCATTTAAAAATCCAAATGGCGATTCATTTACATTTCTATCGCCATTTGAATTCTAGCAAATTTATCTGGTTTGATAAACCATCTCTACGATATGAATCTGATGAATAGAGAGCTCAGTAGTGAATGCTCTAGAAAAAAAATATACATTTATACCTACATATATATTTATATGTATTATATATATATATATATGAAAGTTTCTTTTTTAAATTAATTATTGAAAATATATTTATACTACTGCAAATATATAATATATATATATATATTATATAAACATATTATAAGTATAATATGATCATAAGATGATAAGATAAGATGATATGATATTAATGTGATGATCTAGCAATTTGTTTCGACTAAGGAATTCGATTCCTGTTGTCTCTTGATAAGAGTAAAAGTGCTATTAAAAGTAAGGTCAGGATGGTGTTCATAGGAAATATCTATTGTACTTTCATTCCCAAACACTAATGAGTTTGGTGAGATTATTCTAATGTTAGCGAATAGAAAAAAATTTTTTTAAAGATGGAAATTTACTTCACCAAAAATAATTATTTCCATTGTTTCGTCAGTATTATATTAAGCGAATATAACAACAGGTACGCTGACGCTTCAACGAAATTGCGAATGGATTTTAAAGAATATTTTTTATAGCACAAATTTTGGAGATCGTCCAAAAATTGTTTCATTACAACAGATACAAAAACAATTACGAGTGGATCTGTTGGTAAGTTTTGAGGAAAAAGGCTTTACGAAACAATAAGGACGAAAAAAATCAGGCGCCATAGGCTTCCATCCTATGGGAATATGAAACATTAAAAAACCAGTCTACCTCTGTTTCTATGGCCAAAATTTTATCAAACAAAATTTTCGCATCTAATTGTAACAATCGGTGGAGAGAACTTAATCAGAAATAATACGCACTAATCAGTTCAATGCTTAATATAATCCAAAAGTGCGTACCGAGATTCAGATGACCCACAATAAATCACATGACCAGAGCAATATTTTTCTAAGATTCGTCTGCTTTCGTAGAAGAGTTGTATATAATTTGTTCAGATAGATATTAAAACATTAAAGAAAGGCCGTTAAATTCGAATCATCTCCTAACAGCACTGATCATTCTGATTCCTGGTTCCACTGGATTTTAGGATAATTCCTTTCGGTATAGAAATTCACTCGAGAATAAAAGCTTAATAATATGCTTACCGCAATCAAGGGTCAAGTATCGAGTCTATGAGGACTGATCTTAGGGGAAAATGCCATTTGGCTTTACTCGAATATTTCGAATACATAATAAACCTAAAATTTTTTTTACTCTTTAGGCTTGTTGAAATAAAAAATGAATAAGCTAACAATTAACAACGATAAAAGTAAAAAAGAAGTGAAAAAATCTCCACTTTCCATGCTTTAAACTATTTCCTAATAATTTCAAATTTATTACGAAATTTTTAATCTTCTTCCAATCTTCCACTGCCAATCAAATTGATTCCTTCGCAATCCATTTACTGGAATTTTCTTTGGTTCAAAATATTTATTCGAATAAGCATACAATTATACCACTCAAATCAAAGCAAATTTTTTTCTAATTTTATTGAACGTGTATTTTCCAAAAAATGGGTTAAAATTTGATAAAATTAGGGATAAAATTGATAAAATTTGGTTTACATCAAATTGATAGAATTTTTCCATATTTATATCGTTATACGATTTACTTTATACGATTAAAAAATGTTGTATTTGTAGAATTTGAAGGATTAGAAATTAACCTATATAAGTGATATAACACCTTTTAGCACATTTGTTTGGTATTGTTTCCTAAGATTTCTGACTTTCTGTTTCCTAAGATTTGCGTTCGCTTAAAAATTTGAAGCGACTTCTTGAAATCGTTTCTGAATTAATTTTTGCAAATTTGTAATTTATAATTTGTAACAATAGTTTCTTAACAGCATCATCCCAACTGCATTAACTGGAAATTTAGAAAGGCAGTGACAATGCCATCATATAGCTTGAAACATTTATACTGGGTAAGGTAAATATTATGTGATTGTTTGTATTGATGGCATTCACACTGTAATAAGATTTATATCCATGTGCTCTCACGAAATAAGAATAATGATTCCACTGAAAAAGTTAAATATACATGCAAATTTAGTATATACATTATACTACTTCCCCTCGATTTTTGGCAAGAATCATTGATCACTAAGGTTTTCACGTGAGAATCATTTGGAGCTCAGTTGCCTTTAATCTCTCCTACTCCACTTTTTATTTCTTTTTCACTTTTAACAGTAGGATTTATTCCTGCGAGGGGATTATTATCGAACCCATAGTTATTGATCTCAATCGAAACAATCACTAGAGCATCCTGCTGCCATGCGCATATCAATTTTCTGTCAATAAATTTTTTAACAATTTTGGTAATTTACAATCATTAATTTACAATAATTTTAAAATAGAATTTTAATTTTAAAAATTAGCTTGATTGATATAATAACTTTAATGTTGATAGACAATGATCTTACTCTCTATAAAAATAAATTTGTCTTTAGAAAATAATTCTGATGACAATGGCCACCCACCTCCTGGCAAAATTCTCTATCAATCTTAATAATCAGCGGATCTAGCCTACCAAAATAATGATTGCAAACCGTTTAAAGGTATTTTTTTGATAATTAGTACTTTCTTTACACTACAACTATTCAAAAATTCATTGTCATACAAATTCTAGTAAAACTAATCTTTTACACATTTTAAATAGAAGTAAAACAGTATCAAAAAATATCCGAGTTTTAAAAATTTGTCCAAAATATCTCTGCAAAATTTCCACTGAAGTTCCTGAACAATATAAAATCTTTAAAGGTCACAACAGTATTAGGGACAAAGAAAACTATAAGCAGATTTTTAAGAATTATCGACAATGAACATCACTGCAATTTTAGTTGAAAGTAAGAACAATAAAATTTTTTGAAGCTATTTTGAAGCTGTAAAAGAAATCTAAGGCAATCTGAATGGTGAATGTTTGCCCACAATTATAAGCACGAAAACAGAGTCCGTTGTTTGCAACTGTTAAATTAATCTCATCATAGATCTTTTGATTCAATCCATTTAAACTATATTCCACGTTTATTTATTCCATGTTTTCATATTCTACGAATGGATCAATGCTGTTCATCATGGCAAAACTACATCTCTCACCTGTCTTAATCTACAAAAAGTATTCGATACCGTTGTTCGTAATAAACCACTGAAAAATTTTGGCATAATTGGACGATTATGCCGTAGAAATAGAAAATATAGTTTGTGAATCCTATGATAGTGTTAATATTGTTAATTTTTCAACTTATGTTATATAATATGGATATTCCAACTTATATTTTTAGTATTTCTGGAAATGGATTATCGTAAATTGATAATGCAGTAAATCACAAATTCAAGATCGCTTGATTTAATCATCATTATATTACTTCATGTTTAATGCTTTATTGAATACTTCATGACAAATTAACTCGTGATCCGGACCTTGCCTCAAATAAATTGTTTAAGAAATGTTGAGAAGTTTGTCATTGGTGCGGTACAACCTGAAACTCTGGAGAGACTAATATCTTCTTCTTTGTATAAAAGGAATCCTAGATGATATGTTGAATTATACGCTCCTCAATTTAAATGCTTCAAAATATTTGAAAAATTAATATCTAACAAAGCCCCCACGCATTTCTCAGTAGATAAATCACGCCATAATCATGGATCTTTTGATTCAATGGATTTAAACTATTTAATCCAAATGTTCATTTATTCTACGAATGGATCAATGCTAGTGGTAAAACTATACCTCTCGCCTGTCTTAATCTATAAAAAGTATTCGATACCGTCGTTCGTAATAAACCGCTACATTCACTACAAAATTTTGATATAATTGGAAGATTGTCCACATAGATTAGCGATTTTCTCAGCGATATCAATCGAAATAAACCAAATCCTTTTCTCAACCCTCTCCAACCCTCTCAAATTTTATCAAATTTCACGCTATTTGCATAAGATATCACAATTTTGACAATCTTCATCACTATATAAAACATTTCTTTATACTTGTATGCTGGCGATTGCGAGTTATACACTTCTATGACAGCGTAATGAGATTTTTTCAAGAAGTCTTAGGTCTTACATCAAACTATAAATAAACTAATGTTGTTATCTTTGATGCCTGTTAACTAGAAAAATTATTTCTATATATATTTCTATACAAACCAGAAATTTAATAAAAAAAGTTTCAAGAAATCTAATTCTCCATGCTATTAAATCCAGACTGCATAAATTATGACTTTGTAACTTTATAAAAATTTCTAACAAGCAGCTTAATTGCAAGATTCGAATTAAAACAAGTAAAAAATGATGATTGAGCAGGAAGATGGTAGCAAACAGTTTTATGTACATAGTGTCTGAAAAAAAAACAAAAATGCTTTGAATATGATAAAAATGAATGTTATCATCGGGAAATTTTTGCACAAAATGAAGAATTCGAAATCGAACCACGCAGAGACCTTCCTGCCTGCTTGCCAGCAATATCGTTCTTCCCTTCGCTCAACTTTTAATTACTTCAACGTTCTTCCTTCGATGATCATCGCTGTTGTATCTATCTATACGCACATAAAAATTTCTTTCTACAAGCACATCGCCCTCGTCTATTTTCATTGAACACATTCCATTCATCGTCTGTTTCTTCGTTAAAAATAAATATTCTCGTCGGCGAAAAATATAAAATTCTGAACGATATACATATTTCTCGCAATAATCGAATTCCATTTCGTGTCTGCTTTTCTTAAAAAATTCCATCTTTCCACTGTAAATTATCTTGCATTTGCGTTCCTACTTTGCCAGTCGCTGGAAAAAATTTATAGTTGAAAATGAAAAATAATGGTGCAACTATGGTCCGTCGATAAAACGGCGAATGAGGAACGGCGAATGAGGCTTTATTAACATGGAAATCGGTCCCATAGAGAACTGTCGAATGTATCATTCTCCATGTGTTAAATCCCTCCATTTTAGTTGGAGATGGCCAACTAAGATTTATGAATTCTCAACATATTTTTATGGTGATGAACGACTGTCACGAAATGAAATGAATAAATGAGAATTTGAACAGAGATGAAATGAGAGGTAGGATAGATGAATGGTAGGATAGATGAATAGTTATTGCTTGGATTACCGTCTTGGATTAAGCACCAGAGTTGAGATCCGGGCAGAAGTAAATTCATCGTAATCCTGGCCAAGTGATTCTCTCCAGAAATTTCTGACCGTACTAATAACCAGTAGAACAAATCTAACCAGAAATGATAACGTTTTTATCTAAGAGAATGAAGTAATCGGATAATTATGATTATGACGAAGAAATGATACAAAAGTTATTTAGTCCAAACAACTGGAATTTTTGTCGAAATATTGGCGGCTGAACAAAAGAATATAAAAAATTTCCAGTATCCTTTAAATCCATTGTCTATCTTGTGGATTATTTATTATCCAATTTAATAAAACACTTCCTCTTCTTCTAATAGCTCGCACCATTATTTGTTTTCCTCGCTCCACTGGCGAAGACTGGCAAGATTTTCCAAGCGTTCCGATTGGATGCAATTTTTGAAAGCCATTCCGTCTTTTTTCACCGTATAAACCTTCATATCGCTGGATCGCCTTTGCATTCACGTCAGATCCTCCGCTCTTTTGGTGTCATCTATCAGGGTTTAGTAAGTAGCATTAATTCCTGTGGTGAGCGACGAAGAATTTGGTCAAATCAGCGCAGGTAAATTTTTGTGGTAATATTTGTAATGCAAATGGTATTTTATCAAAGGTAGATGCAATCATGTGGGTTCGATTGGTGAGTAGGAAGGACATATCTTAGGTAAGAATGGTCAAAGGCATCCTGACATCTTCAATTTTCACTGGTCAAGTTTCGCAGCAGTATAGTATCGCACGTACTACAAATAGATGTGAACCTTCGTTTTAAGGCTGATTTTAAAGCGATTACAAGGGGAAAGCCAGAAGAAAAAAAGCATCTCTAGCTGCAGCCATTCGAGATGGAAATTCGTCTTTCGCATGCCCTTAGGCATACAATATAATGCAATATATGCAAATCATAATATTTGCCTGAATGATGTAGAACAGAGATTCCCAGGTGAAATCAGCGAACTTCAAGGTCGATGGACTTCGACTGGGAATTGACAGGAATTCTAAGGCTCAATAGGGGTCGTTGAAGAAGTCAAATATTTGTTGTAGTACTTTTTCAAAGGCTTCACACGAATTATTGAACTATTGAAAATGTAGTGCGAATTCGCATATGTACTTCAAATTTTTCACGAACCAATAGTTTTAGCTTTTTCTAGCTCCGATACACTCGAAGCGGATTTTGGCCATGCAAATCATTTGTTAGGGAAAGTAAAAAATGTTTAAATATATCAGAACATTTAAGAATTGAATAACTTTAAACTAAGCCAGATTTTAAAATATTGCTGCAACACATCGGGTAAAGCTATACATTTATAGTTATAAATAAATATTTTAATTTGCAATTCAGTTAAAGTTCTCTTAAACTTCTCTTAAACTTTTGATTTTTTTTCAAACAAAAATCAAAATAAATTTTTAACATTAGATCAATTAAATTATATAAATAAATTGTAAAATATGTATATATATATTAAATTTGTATTGTTTTTTATTTTAATTTATTTATTTATTAAATTTGTTTTTTATTTTGATTTATTTATTTTAATTGTTTTTTTAATTTACTTTTCATCTTCCCTTAATTTTTTTTTATATCTTTGTCTTTTATCTTTTCTTATCTTTGATAGGAGTAAACCTTCTCTGATACCAAACCAGGTGATTGCTAGGTGATATCAACTTTTAACTATATCCCTAAGTGACTGTATGGTGAAAGGATCAGGTCCTCTTGGCAGGGCGTCTGACGCCCATGATATTCTCAGCTCTGTGATACATGCGATAAGTTTGCAATCCGGATATTAATATTAACCTCAAGGCTTAATAATATGATTTGCTCGTGAGCCAGGATAACTGCTTGAAATTTACCAAGGGAAACTCTCTGCACGCGCAGCGAGGTGTTTAGCAGTAGTAGCATGGAACGTCAGAACGCTTCCGGACGTCACAATCATTATCCACACTCTTCCCAAATATCGTGTGGATGTTGCCTGCTTATCTGAGGTCCATCTTCTTCTTGCAATTACTGGACCTGGCACAGATGTTTCGGATAACTCGTGGGAAAATGGCATAGCGAACGCCATATCTGAAAATGCTCGGTCCGCTCTGACTGAGTGGAAGCAGATAAATGACTATGTGGCTTATGCTCGTTTCAAAGAAAAATTTTTAATATTTTGGTTAGGTAGTATATATACAACCTTAAGCGCAGATGACCACGATAAGTTCTAAGTGACATGGCCATAATCGGAGGAGACTGGAATGCATTCGCAGGTCACGATGCAGCCATGATAAACTCAATAATTAGTAAATATGACATTGGAATTGAATGCGCCAATGGAGAATATCTTCTTCACTTTGAATAGCATGAGATCTTTGTTACTGATACAAATTTCCAGTATCTAAGAAAACATCTAATCACCTTTAACTCTCAAAATAACGAGTATTCCAACTAGATTGGCTATATATTGGTCAGTCGCCGCTGGAAAAGTTTCATACTTGATAGTCGTTCCTATTATTGGAGTGCTGAAATGGGCAGTCTTCATGGATCTGATCGTATTATGGTCAGATCATTCCAGTCTCCCCTGATTAAGACTATGTCATCAACTGAGAAATTCGGGGACAGTAAGTGTATCTCAAACCGAATTATTGAAATAGTGCGATAAACATCAGTGAAATTTCTGGAACAGGAGAATACTAAAAGAATATCTCCAAATCAGCTATTTCCACACTGGGTATCGGAAGCAACATTCAGCACGCTGCTAAAGCACGAGATTTTGACTATCGGATGCTTCGAAGAATTATAACTATAACTGTAGCACGGCTGAACAGAAATAGAGCGATATAGCCTTGAGAATGGAGACTGGTGGCTCAATTAGGCGGTAATGGGAAATATTCATTAAACCTTCTTCTTGAAGCAACTATGACTCGGGGAAAGTAAAATGGTAGGTGATAGTAAAAGGGTGCCTAATAAGGCTAAAGATCGTTTTTTTTTAAGAGCCCCACCATTACTGATTAAACTGGCTCCATTGGCTTGTCCCATTGGATAAATATGCAGAGAGTCCTCTGGCGATAGTCATCCAGATTTTTGTACAGGTTTATTCCTGTGGGGAATCGAACTTCAGCATGGGCGCTTCCAATCGAGCAACAACTCACTGAAGCATTCTATCCCGCATAATAGGCAAATAATCTAATATGAAAAAAATAAAAATTAAAGAGACCTGCAGAGATAAGAAAAATACGGATTTCGATGAATTCAAGCATATTCGCGGAATTTAAACAAAAAAAAAAATTACATATTTAACAAGTTACAATGTATGTACAACGAGAACAAAAAACAATTAATTATATTATAAAAATCGAAGCAAAAAAAAAATTAAAAAATTAAAAAATTACTGAAATACTTTCCATTAAAAAATTATTAGTTTGAAGCGAAATTAAATTTTTAAGCTATGGCATTTAATAAATTCACAAATTCGCCTTTTCAATTTCACATATTATTCAAAAAATGAAACTTTTCCCTTTCCTCAGCCGTTAACTTTTCCAGTTCGTGTGCCACACGTAAACACTTTGACAAAAATTGGCTCTTTCGAGATCCCTAACTTCAAAAGATCTCAAACAACGCGATTCCTGACAACCTCTTGGAACCTCTTGAATATCTCATACGAAAACATTGCACTCTTATGGATGTTCGCCAATGATAAATTAACAACAAATGCAACCATATCAATAGGAAAAGGTCTTTCTGGTTTCCATATTGAATTAAACGACGATACTTTCTTGGAGTTTTCATCAACTACTGGAGTTTAACCAGTAACCCGCCAATGATGCCTACAGGCGAAACACCAATTTTTTCAACTTGCCTCCTTTACTCGAATAAGCGCAAATCGTAAGCGTTATCATCATCACCGAAATATAAACACCTTGTTTCAAGCGTCCTAAGCCAACTAAGAGCTGCATTTCGCTGCAGAACACCACGAGGTAACTTCCAGTTCGGATCCGCTTCATTCAATTTCTTATTAGCAGGTGTCAACATAAATCGATGGCTGAAATGAATCCTACTTCGGTGAATAATAGTAGCAACAGAATGTGATTTTTCCTGGCATCCTCTACAACTATCCAAACCAAATTCGGAACTAATGTTTGAACAAGTCGTGTTAAATCAACTTTTTGCGATAATAAGTAGGTGAAATAGATGAATAGATTACTGGAAGATTGTTTCGACTTTTTGTCATTGGTAATCGATCTCGAATTAAATTATTAATTTTTGAAAGATATTTTTCCATACGATGAATATCTTTCTAAACTCCATATTTTAATTTGTAAATTATCGCATTTTCGTTTAAATGTTTCCAATTCGGCTTCAATAAATAATGCTTCTCATCGAGATTCTCCAAATTGAACCAAATTATTATTTATTAAAAAATAATCCAAGAACATTTTCATTTATACATTTCAAATAAATATATGCGAAATATGAAAAAAAAACCAAATTTTCTAAAAATTTTTCAAATTTTTCAACCAAAAAAAATTTAGTTTATAGAAATAATTTTTATTGAATTTATTTCTCTTAAGTTTATTGGTCAAACTTGGGTAATTAAACCATTAAGGATCGTATGATGGAAGGAATTCTTTGAGACCAAATTCAACCACTAAGCTCCATCTGTTGCTCCGAAAATAGCTGATTCGCCCATTAAACCATGCATTTGCAACTGGTAACCGCCAACAGAAAAGGTCAAATAATCTTTGAAACTTAGGGCCAATAAAACTCCTGGAGAAGATGGTATTCAGCCCGAAATGTTGTCCATCGTTCTTCATATCATACCTTCAACAAATGTACTTTCTCGTTTAGAAAAATGAAATAATACCAAAATGACGGAAGTAAAGTAATTCAATTCCAATTCCTAAGAAAGATGACAGGATAGTGTGATAATTATCGAGGAACCAACCTTTTAAACATCTCAGAGAAAATTTTTGCTTCCCTCCTGCTGAATAGACTTATGGTAGTATGACACAGAGTGTGCCTTAACCAAACAGAACTCTTCTCTGGGACGCGTTGTGCTAACCAGATATTCACCCAATTCGCCGTGCGGATAAAATCGCATGATTGCACTCATTCTCGCTCAAATATCACTTGTTTTGTCATTACCATTACAGAATTCCGTCTTCGCTGGTTAGGTTCTTCGTTGCCCACAACCGGAGCTGACTTTCTAAACCTTATGACGGATTTTGTCGAAAACGAGGTGGTCCAATGAAAACCTGGACTGATAGAATTTTTGAACGTATAGGCGGACCAGCGGACTTCGACGATGCAAAAAGGAATGGCTTCTATTATTGTCAACAATAGCGCCGGATCGAATAGCTTGAAGTCTTACTCTTTTAGTCAGCAAAACCAGCCTAACTAGCAATTGTGAGAGTTGTTAGAAGAAGAAGATTATTTTTTTATAGTAAATATGAAATAAGAAAGGAAACGTACATTTTCGCCAAAGAATCACCTGCGAGGTGCAAGTAAATTTCCAACAACCCTGAAATGACAAACCTTCTCTCACTGAGGGATAAGAAGCAAATTTATGAAGCCACGAACTGGCTGATGAACACGTTCAAGAAAAATCTGATATAAAATGACCTAACTTCTTCAGCGTTTTTCTTATTCAAAGCACGATTTATCTTCAAAAATATTTGTTGGTCAAATATGGGAAATATTTATTCGCGATTTTTCAATTATAAATATTTATCTGATCTTTTCGGTCGACCTGATTTCGTCTGTCTATTCATTTAATCGTTATCGTTTTGTAGTTTTTTCCATTCTTTTAGATTTTCCAGTAGTTTCTTTCTTCTCTGCCGCAAAATTCTACGCAAAATTAGCAAAAGAAGCGGAGAAAAATCAAAAATAGCGAAAAAAATTTTTTTTTCTCTGAGTTTAAATAATAAATACATTTGTAAATTTGTATATTAATTTATTAGTTAATATAACTGTTAATATATATGATAGCAGCTGAATTAGAATGCTCGACACGATAATTTTAGCAAAAACCAGCACTCAACGACTGTCCCTACCTAGTCAAAAGCCTTAAACCTTCATTCCTTATAATGTTGTGGCAATATAAATTAGAAAACAGTTAAATAGATGATTCGAGATGAAATTATCGCTCAAATCAATCACAAATTATCGATAAAAATTTGAAATATTTGAAATAATTTTATAATCACAATTATGAATTCTTATAAAAAGAATTTCTGCGAACAAATAATTCTCTTTCAGATTGTGGTGAATTTTGTTTGAAGCGAAATAGAAAAAATTGCTTGTGAAATGTGAATGAACGTTTTTTAAGTGTTTTTATTTCATATAAAGTGCACCTTCGTCGACTTTCATTTCGCTTTCGTACTTTTCAGGTTGTTTAATTTATTTAAATTAATAACTATGGTTAATGCAGAGGACATCTGCCATATGCAATAAAATTATGGATGCGTTTATCAAAGCCATTTACTCAGTTATCCACGCTGCATGAACATTACGATAGCACAGACTCTGTTAAACGCGATTTTAACGTGAGAAAAGGGACTGACGAGAGTGGGATTCGAACCCAAGCCTCCGAACAGACTGGTGACTTGAACCAGCGCCTTTGGCGCCCACCATCCGAATGGTGAGTGAGGCGTTGATCGAAGTTGACTTCGATCTGCGTCCCTCTCCTTAGCGACAAGAACAGCAGTAAACATAAGAATGCATTCTCCTCGCACAAAAAGTGCATCACATTCGTTTCTATCACCAAAGTACATCACATCACGCCTTAGTCGGTACGACTGGCCGAACAAGAAATGGTGATTGGTGTTAAAAGAAGATAAACGAACAGAAGGAAAGAAGAATAGCTAAGATACGAATGCCATTGTTGAGCGAGTGCGCATAAAGCTCAAGCTCATTTTACACGCCAGGGCCACATTTCACTCAGCGGTGATACGGGCCGCGTTTTCTGCCCTCGAGATCCACAAAGTTTCAAATAAGTGAATCGATTCGTTAGGTGTTTTTTTCGGTGAATGGGCAAAATTCACTCGAAAAATGCGTTGTTTTTGCTGTGAGGATGCCTTAAATTTGTTGGGACGTTCCTTTTTATATTCAGTTTGTTGTGGAATAAATTTTATTTTATAACTGACTGCTAAATAATTGAATGAGCCTTTTTTGAAATTTAAGAAAAAAGATTTGAAAAATTTGAAGAACTAAAACAATTTTGCAGAATTTTTTCCCAGATGACTCCGCACAAATTCGATAACAAAAGCGCTAAAGAATCGATTGAAAACAGTGGCAAACAACCCCATTGTGCCAGTACAACCCATGCAAATTTACCAGTAAGCAAGGTGTTAATTTTTAATTTCCTTTTTGCCGTTCTGTCCATGTTCAGAAGGTGTGAGCAGATGCGAGGTGGGCAGGGTGGAATTAAGAAGGGCGTTACTTCGATTAAGCAGTGGTCAGTGATGATTGGTTCGGTGCTTCTCTCTGGCTTAAATCCGTCATTGGGAGGTTATGTCTGGCACTTACCTCTGTCTCTGTCAACAGTTGTGGCGAAGGGGTGTTTTTGTAGTAGTCGGTGGAATTTACTAAGAGCAAAGGGTGCATGTGGATGGGGAAAAATATAATTATAGAGTGGGAAATATGGTGGAGAAAAAAGAGAACGAATATTTATGCTTCTGATCCGCATATGAATTAGTTACCTATATAAATCACTAGTCAGTTGACCAGGAAACTTTTCACCCATTCTGTTTTCTTTTCTTTTCCTTTTTAAATCGAATTTAATTTTCAGTTCATAGGTAATTTTTGGGTTCTTCTGGATTTTTATAATTTATAATTTGGGTTATAATTTCTTTTAGAATTCCATTTTTTGAAACAAATTTCCCTCTAGGAATAATTTTTTCATTTTAATAATCTGGTCAGAAGCGCTGACTGATTTCTGGCATCCCCAAATTTCACTTTTGCTGATGAGGTTTATTTCCTCTCTTTTGAAGTTGAAACTATGTCATATATTATTTTCATACCATAGCATAAATTTCTTTTTACCTTTATGTAAAAATATTTATATCAGTAGATTAATTAGAAATATTATTTACATCATTAGGAAGGCATTTTTACAATAGCTGATTTTGGAAGTATTTTTAAAGGTCTTTTTTTCATCATTGATTTTTGCCTGATAATTTATTATTTTGGAAATTTTTGAAATTTAAAGAAAAATTAGAAAAAAGTTAACTAGTTTTTTTTCGAAACCTGAGCAGTTAAAAATTTATTAATGGTTCAATTTTTTATAAAATTATTTATCCGTTTTGCATTTTAGTTTTTCCGTTTATTATTAGTAGGATTAAATTTAATATCAGTAGGCTGAAAATTTCACTTAAAAAAATTGCACTTTGCATTTTTTCTGCCATTTTGTCAATTGTTAAATAAAATAGAATATTTATATAATATATAATTGGGATATATTCTTAGAACGTTTTAAAGTGTTTTGCTTCAGGTTGTTGTTCACCCACTGGTTTTATTATCAGTGGTGGATCATTTCAATCGAGTAAGTAAAACGCAAAGTGTTAAGCGAGTTGTTGGTGTACTTCTTGGAAGTATGAAGCACGACCGAGTTCTTGATATTGCGAACTGTTTTGCAGGTTTTTTTCGGATTTATTAATTTCTTACACTAATTCAGGGAAAAATCTCTTAGAATTATGTATCTAATTCAAAGAAAATAACTCCTTTCACTGCTCTGTTAGATGGATTTCTGAAAGAATTTTAGATTTTTTTTTTGTTTTACTGGTTGATTTATTTATTTATTTGAAACGGTGCGAGAAGCATCATGTTTTATATTAATAACAACAAAATAAGATCAATGAAAAAAATTAGTGAGCGATATGTGATACAAAAGGATAACAGTATAAAGAGAAATAATACAATAAAGGGGAATTACAGAATAACTCAAGTTGATTGAATGTATTAACGACAAACATTCTATCGAATAAAAAATAATCAAGATTTCAAACTATTTTCATGGTTCATGATATGAACCTTTTAAATACCATGAAATTATTTAATCCTTTTTAAAAATACGTAAAGATGCACAAACTACGTCATTCGGCAGTTTATTCCAATCACTAATGGTGCGAATAAAAAAGATAAAAGTGAATAAAAGTGTGTCCTTAGTTTAGTTTTGCGTCTTCTTCTTACAGTTCTCACCATTACTGGTTAAGCTGGCTATTCTGGTACAAGAATGAGACGTTTCCAAGCTGCGCAATCTTATCATCATCATCAGCAGTAATAGAAGCTTTTTTTCCATTGCCTAAGTCCACATATCGCTGCTCTACCCATCACAGGATGTAACAAGTAATGAAATATATATTAGTTCTTGGTGGGCGAAGAACGTGCCATAACCAGCGAAGGTGCGACGCTCTGTGATGTTAATGGTATTTGAACGAAGTTGGATACGATAAGATTTTATCCGCTCGAAAAATCCGTAAAATATATCGTAAACATGAGTAGTCAAAGGTAGATAACTTCTTAATATCCTGTACTCTCATTGGCCATGTCTTGCAGTCATATAGCAAAGTCGAGCGAATAAAAACGAAAGTCCATCTGTACTTTAATATAAAATTTTTCATAAATTTTAAAAATATATATAAAAAAATTTCTTTCATTTTTTTTTCTTTTTTTAATAAGTGTAGATTTTTTTCTTTTTTTTTTAATAAATATAGATCAATTAGAATATAGAGGCATTTTAATATAGAGGCATATAGAGGCATTTTATCAGCTTCTTGTATATATGACGAAAAGACTTCATTTTTATACTGACTGTGTCCGGTTCTCGCTGCACATTGTTTAATATTGTTTGCATTTCGACAAACCTGTCATCAAAAAGGACTTAATAATTAGCATATCCAAGGTATGTGATATGATGCTTTGGACTGATTTGTACTAAACTTTTTGAGTGCCCAAAAGCGGTGTCCTTTATCCAGTCTATCGCATATTGAATAGTGTAGGAGAAAGGGCATAACTTTGACGGGTACCAGTCCTTATTTCGAAAAAGTCCATCTGTACTTCCATAAGTTTGTTGAGTTAAAGGGAAACAAAAATTTTCGCTGAGACGTTTATTTGGCTGATTCCTCGATAGTTTACATTTAGTTATAATTATTAAATTATTTAGTTATAATTATATAATTATAATTATATAACAGTATATAATTAATTAATTATTTTTATAATTAATTATTTTTGTCTATTAGATCTTGTTAAAATTAAAATTAAATTTTATTAAAATTTTAAAATTTAACCGGCAATTATAATATTTTAAACAATCTAACTTGAGATAACCATGCAGAATTTTATATACGTAAATTAAATCTTATTTTGACGAATTGAGAGAGTCTAGGTTGTGTGGTTGAAGTTATGCTTTATAACTAAGATTGCTATTAAGTGGGAGGCGATGTACAAAATAGTTTTGGAGTCTTTCCATTAATTCCCTTGATTTACTATATCTGAGGGAATAACAGGTTGCATTATACTCAAGAATTGGCCGAAAGTGACCGAAAACGTTTTCTATATTTTAATAAGAAAGGTTTTTAAAGACCTAAAAATAAAATTTAGTATTCTCAAGGATTTCTTAACTATGGTTCTGCAGTAAAAATCTGCAGCGAAATCAAGATTTTCATCCACGGCTATGCCAAGATTTGAGATATTTAAGGCTGGTCTAATTATGTTAATATTAGCAAAGAGATTAGGGATCCTTTTTAATTTATTTGTTTATTTATTTTAATTTATTACGCTATACTTTTGAATAGAAAGGGTAATTTTCCTGTCATATAACCACTTAGAAATTCTGTTGAAATCATTTTATAGCGAAGGATCTATTATATATTAGAGATTTACTATGAGAATAATAAATTTTACAGTCAGCTTAAAGATAAATAGCAGAATTTAGTGAAACTTTGGTGTTATTAATATATAATATGAAAGGTATTGATGCGATACAGTTATCTTGAGAGGCACCTAATTTATACTGAAAAGTTTTGTTAATCAGAAAAATAAAAAAAGGAAAGAAATGACTTGCGTACTCGTCGACGGTTTCACGGATTGGAGTTGGAAAGTACAGCTAGTAGTAGATTTTATTAATGCCCGGATAGGAATATAATAGAACGATGTGCAAAATAACATTAATTATTATAACGAATTGAAAAGTATGATTACGATTGAATATGAAGGATATATTGTGGAAACTGGTTGACTAACTGATCTATATTTATTAAAAAAAAAGGAAAGAAATCTATATTTATTAAAAAAAGAAAAAAAATGAAGGAAATTTTTTTATATATATTTTTAAAATTTATGAAAAATTTTATATTAAAGAAAAATTTTTTCTCTAAAATTCAGTGGCTTCATTTTTTGTTAATAGACAGACCGACCGATAAATTCATCGACTCAATCACCCAACTGACCAAACAAACCCTCTGATCTTTGGTCATATTTCTTCTTGTTTTTTATAAGGAATGTTTTTTAAGGAAGAAAAGAGATTTTATTATTAGACGTATAATTTCTTTACAAATTGACAATATTTACATTCAAAAATACCGGATTTTAAACATAGGAAAACGCTTATTATTTGATACAAATTGACAGTATTCTCGTAGCTACAAAGGAAGTTTACATGCAGAAATACCGGTTGTATAACTGATTTATAATTTAGTAATTTAGCATGCTTATTATTTCGGTTTTTCTGACATGGTTTGACTGGAGTCAAATCTGAGATAGTTATTGATACGAATAGTTTGGTATCTATCTTTTAATTAATCTGATATTCAGTTATACCAGTATCCAGTATATCCAGTTAAGCCTATAATGCAATGACTATTAATGGTGGCCAGTAATTTACTGTGGGAAGCGGTATCAAATGCTTTGGTTAGACCTAAGTAGGCATTCTATTTTTCCATGATCAGTTGATGCTGACCATTTAGAAAAATTTACTAATATTTGTGTTAGTGGATTTTTTCGAGCAAAAGCCGATTGTTACTGATAGAAGGATATTAAATTGCTGGCATCAAGATAATTGAGCTTGTTGTAAAGCAATCTCTCCAATATTCTGTTGCCGATATTTGTTAGGCTAATAGATCTGTAAGGATCTTAGGTGTTTCCTTTTTTATGAATGGGAATTGTATGGGATAATTTCGAAATTCTTGGGTTTAGGCCATTCATAATATCCTCGTAAATTAAAAACAGAAAAACTGCACATAGAATAGAAACTGCACATGTTTTATAAAGCATTTCTGGATTATTATCGGGACCAGCTGAAATAGATGCTTTGAGTTTTTTTAAAGTTCATAAATCTCACTGAGCGAACAGCAACTACTTCGATTCTCACTGAAACGAACGCTATTATTATTATCATCAACAAACTACAAAAATATTGATTATACTTGCAGCATCAGTATCATTAATATCGGAAGTGATGACATTGTGTTGTTGAATTATTTTTTTTTCCTAGAAATTATTTCCTAGAAATGCAAATTTTTTTTTTATGTAATTCTGAAGAATCTCTGTTTATTCAAAAGTTCCTCTTCTTTGAAAATTGAGTATTCCTTATTTGGAGAGAGATTACATGGTAATTTATACTTATTGTAAAGGTTCTTTCTAATTTTTTTAGAGGTTTTAAAATAAAAGAAATTTAACGCTTTTTTTTAAAGGAACATTACGCTGTTTGAGCTATAGTGTGGTGTTATAAAGAAAATTCATTTTGGTTAATAGAATCATATATGCAAAATATAGTCCCAATTCATTTCGCAAGGAGAGAATTAATGATTTCATAATCTCAGCTTGCGTCTAGAAAATCTTGGAGAATGTATATAATGGTTCAGTTCCAGTGAGACTTGAATGATATTGTTATCACTGCTACAAAAAGGTATAAGAAAATTAACACTGTCGACAAGAAAAATAGCAATGATGGTCGATACAACATACCAATGTTATGTTGTGGTAGTAGTTTCAATGCTCTAAATCAGTGTAAGAATAAAAATTTAGAAAACCTCAAATCTACCTCAAATCTGCTATTGTTTTTCATACAATTATTTATTTTATTCAATCATTTTTCCAGTCTGTTTTCAGCGTATTAAGATCAACAGTGACATAATAATAATAACAAAATATATTGAATTTAAATAATAAGTTGTAAAGAGTGAAATTACATCAATATCTTGGTGGACGATATATGAAAGAAATATTTTAATAAACGAGATAAATTTTAATTATTAGAGATTCAAAAGAGGAGAAAACATAATCAATAACTGCATATTTATAAGAATCTGGAAGAATATGCGTAATAATCCCATCTTCACGTTATTCAGACCATTTGTTGTTCTGTCTTACTTATTGCTTCAAAATCATTAAGTTTAGTTCAAATTATCAGTAGAATCATCTAGCCACTTTTCATCTATGCAAAAAATACCTATTAATAAGAGGTCATACAATTTATATTTTAAGCATCTAGCATTAAATATATAAATATGTGATTTCTTATGCTGTTTTTTTTCCTAAGAATAAATGCCGAATGTTATTAATCTTATTAAAGATTAGGGTAAGCCAGAAAAATGAAGTCTACTTGGCCGAATATCTTAGACTATCATATTTTGACCAGAAAAGAAGGGTCGAGATTGTGTAATTGTGTGTTTTTACTAACTTCCACTATTTGAAGATTTCTGGTCATGTATTTTTTATTTAATATTTATTTATTTTTTTTATTGAAACCAGCCAAGCGGGGCGACAAACTCCATGTGCTTGTATTAATAACAACATAACATACCAGTAATAACAGTAAAAATTAATAATAAGAAAAAAAGAAAATATGACAAAAATTAACAATTTAAAGAAAATAAAGAGGAATTTACAGAATAATATAGTACAATTCGAAATAAATGTATTATATATAATGGGGTGGTAAAAATCGAGATTTCGCATTTTCTGCATGATGTGAACTTTTTAAAAAATATCATAAATGATATTTTTTAATCTTTTTTTAAAGATAACTAAGGATGATACAAATTATATCGTTCGGTAATTTATTCCAGTAATTAATAGTATGAATAAAGAAGTCATGAGTCCTTAGTTTAGTTTTACGTATAGATTCTAGTAATTTTAGCCCATTAATTCTTGCTGGATTCAAATTTAGTCTAAAATTATAATATTTTGAACAATCTAGTTTAATAAAACCATACAGAATCTTGTAAGTATAAATTAAATCGTTTAATTCGACGAACTGAGAGAGATTCCATGTTGTTTTGTAGAAATTTTCTTTTATTAATTGGAATTGCTATTAGGAGAGAGGCGTCGTAAAAATATTTTTGGAGTTTTTTGGAGTCCTTCAATTATTTTACTTGATTTACGATATCTTGGGAAGTAGCATGTATTATTGTAATCAAGAAGAGGCCAAACGAACGCTTTATACATTTTGGTGAGAAAACCTTGAATTTGCTCTTAAAGGAACGAAAAATAAAATTTAGTATCTTTGTTTCTTTCTTTCCATGGTTCTGCAGTGAAGGTCGAAATCGAGATTTGCATCCATGATTATTCCAAGATCGGAAATGTGTGAGACTCTACTGATTATATTACCATTAAAAAAAAAAGGATGATCGAATCCTTTAGAATTGATATGAAGAGCGCTACACTTTTGAAAAGAAAGGGTAAAGGGTAAGGGTAAGAGTAATAAAGGTTTGCCTGTCATATAGCCAGTTGGCTATTCTGTTGAGGTCCTTCTGCAGTGGAGATAGATTATCAGTTTTACCATGAGAATACTAAATTCTACAATCATTAACATAAAGATAGATGGTTGAATTTAGTACCACTTTGGTGATCATTCATATATAATAGAAAAAGCAATGGCGCAATATAACTACCTCGGGGAGCACCAGATTTAACAGATATCAGGATGTTTTTGACATATACAGCCCGGTGATTTTTTATACAAAAGCCATGCTGATAGGAAATTAGTGGGTATCAAGATAAATAAGCAATTTGTTGCAAAACAACCTTGCAGTACATTACTATAAGTGTATGTTAGGATAATAGGTTTGTAATTAGAAGGGTCATAGGTGCTTTCTTTTTTATGAATGGGAATTATATGAGACAATTTCCAAATTTTGTGATTAATGCCAGATTTCATAATATCCTTAGACATAGGAGAAGAGAGGCTGCACATTTTTTATAAATTATTTATGGAATAATATCGGGACCAGCTGTAATGGATGGCTTAAGTCTATTTAAGGCATCATAAACCTCCAGTAGCGTTATTTCAACCTCACAGAGAGACGCAACAAATTCGACTTACGTTAAAACAAGAAGTATTATGATTATTATCGTCAAATACACTAGGAAAATATTGATTAAATACACTTGCAATATCAATATCAAAGGTGATCACATCATTATGTTGCGGATTTATTTACATGGATTTGCAAATTTTTTTAAAATATAAGTCCAGAAAAAATTTCTATTGACATTTAAAAGATGTTCTTCTTGAAAAGTAATTATAAACGGCGCTACGGAAACTTTTAAAGCATTCTTTATATGCAGAGAGGTCATTTGGCAGTTTGGTTAATTTATTTTAAAGCTTCTTGACACTTTTTTATAAAAGATTTTAGAAAAAATGGGAATCGGCCTAACGCTTTTTTCGTTAAAATGCTCTATAAAATGATGCTATTAAGAAAATTAACTTTTTCATCAATAGAGGAAGTAGAAATCCCAAATTATTTCTGTGAGGATAAAATTAATGATTTTATAATCATAGTAACGGTAATTTCTAAAAAATCTCGAGAAAGGTACATAACGCTAATTTTAATGAAGTATGAATGATATTAAATGATATTATGATCACTATATTAAAACTCTGGTTAAAAGAATGGCAGTTTTTTCGCGTTGCTTGCCTAATATTTCTTTTAGATTTAAATCTTTTACAAAAAAACTTCCAGTTGGTAGGACTGAACATACATCTCCATTACATGGCTAAATATTTATTGCTTCAAGTTAACTTTGAGTACTCACAGTTTAGCAGATTTCTTTTCATATCGACAAATTTACAATTAACTCCCGCATCTGCGGCAATTTTTTGCTAGAAGCCTATCGGCAACATTACTTCCATTTTCCACAGGTTATATCAGCTAAACATGGCTCCTTTTTTTTCAATATATTAATCGATAGTTTCGATCAATTGTTCTGTCGAGATTTTCAAAGGAATTGTGGCAGGAATTGTTGATGTTGTTCACCATATTGGATGGTTTCGGATTATTTATTTCATTCCTGAATTACTCATTAACTTTAATGAAAGATTCGACACATCTTATTAGTTGCGAAATTAATACTTGCTTATTTTTCAGTAACAGAAGACAACTGTTATCTCTTATCTCAAATACCCTATAATTTTATGTAACGAATTTATCTGTTGACTCGACATCGTTACTTGTTACCTCTTTTGGACCATTTCAATAAATCTTCCACTTAAGTATAAACAAACACGATAATTTAAATAAAATAACCCTTTTAGAGCAGTAAAATATAAATATAATTTAATTCGACAAAATGAAATTTGATCATTTTATTTGTAATTTTTAATTCAGTAGAAGAATTTGAAAAAATTCTATTCTCAAAATTCTAAAAATTTCGGAAAGAATTTTTATTATGTTATATTAAGTGCCTTTTGATGAAGACGATCGCGACAAGTCTACTTGGTTTTTGGATATGGATTACTTGGAAAGCTTGTATGGGATGTTTCATAAGGTTCACTTTTTCTTCCTTATTTTAGAGGAATATGTTATATTGCAGTAAAAAAGTGTCGATGAATTTCCTTGATATAATTAGTATCAACTTCAATAGTAGAATTTTCTTTGTCCTTTCAAATTGATGTAGTATGCTCTTTGCTCCATAACATTTTCGTATTGTTTCAGTTACCATTTCAGGTTGCTGCACGAGAAAAAATTGTTGGGTGGTATCATACAGGCCCAAAGCTTTGTCAGGTTTGAGCGTTTTTTTTTTCTTTTCTTTTTATATATTATATATATATTATCTTTTCTGTTAAAAGAAAAGATATATTTCGTTTAATGGCAGTGTGGGCGACTTCTAAAGATTGCTTTCAAGCTCTGTGAGCGATATATATCGGAAGATGATTATTTCACGGGAAGCACTGGGCGCTGATTGCCAATGAATGATAAACCCGTTCTGATTCCTGCTTGATCTTTATCTAAACATTGTCATAATTGGAAAATATGTATCTTTCATACTGATATTGTTGTAAAATCAATTTTTTAATTGATTTTTAGAATGATATTGTGATCAATGAACAGTTGAAGCGTTTTACACCAAATCCTTTATTAGTTGTAATTCAGGCCGAGCCAAAAGATCTAGGTCTACCAACAGAAGCATATATCGAAGTTCAAGAAGTACATGATGTTCGTTTTATTTGTACATTTTTTGATTTTCTTGTAATTTTATCTTATATGTTTTTACGCATGTATAATTTTGTGTATAATATATTAACTACTGGAATAAGTTGCCGCATAATGTCCTTCTTGCTCCATTTGTTCCCAGTTTTAAAAAAATCGTAACATCATCCACAACTTGTAAAAAAATTTTTTCGGTCCATATTAGTATCATTTTTTGTTTTTTCTTTTCGTTTTACTTCTTATTGTTTTGTTCTTTTCACTTATATTACTCTTTGATTTAAGAATCTTGTAATTACAAATTCTAGCACATTTGTCACTGGTTTATATTTAAATAAATAAATTTTTAAAGTTTCAATCCTTCATTTTTGTTACAAATTTCAGGACGGGACTCCTCCAATCAAAACATTTGAACATGTTCCAAGTGAAATTGGTGCAGAAGAGGCTGAAGAAGTTGGCGTCGAACATTTATTAAGGTTGGGAAAGTTTCGAAAATACTTGAGATTCCTGCTTATGACTTTCACTTTTTATAAAGATTCTAGCAGAAATCCTGGAATATTTTTTTTTTTTACAGGGATATCAAAGACCAGACTGCAGGAACCCTATCACAACGTATTACTGATCAGCTAAGTGGTTTATGTGGTTTGCATGGGAAGCTTTGCGAGGTTCGACACTATTTGAAAGAATTAGTTGATGGGAAATTACCGATCAATCATGCTGTTATCTATTACATTCAAGTATATTTTCTATTATGTATATTTTTAAGCACATCTCACTCTGAAAATAAATGAATAAAATATTATATTAATGAGAAAAAATAAGAAATTTTGTCTTTTAATTCATTATATTACCACATTTATATTCATACGAAAAAATTTTGCAGGAAGTGTTGAATCTTTTGCCAAATATTACATCTCCTCAATTTGTCGAATCGCACAATATGCAAACAAATGATCAATTGATGTGTGTTTATATGGGTTCTTTAATTCGCACTGTAATTGCTCTTCATAATCTTATCGATAATAAAGTATGAATTTTCAATAATGAAGTTTTCAAAATTTTTTATTTTTTACATAAAAACTTTCTATTTGATGGGATATTTCATCTTTTAATTTTTGCACTTCTTACTTTAAACAAAAAAATTCTTTCAGTTATCCTTACAAAAGACTGAAAGAGAAAAGGACATGAAGAAAGAAGAAAAATCAGAGGAAAAAAAAGAAGTGAAAGAGGATAAAAAATCTGCGAAAAGTTAAAAGGAATGTATTATCGAAAAATTTTCAAAATCACTTTATATTACATCACATTATATTATTATGTTCAAATCCTATAAAAAGTCATAAACCTATTTTTCACTAAAACTTATTTTTATGATGTTTCAAACGTTTTTCATCTAAAATATATTTTACAGGCCAATCTTAATACCTGAGAGGGCAAATATAATCCTCAATGAATTTCAGTTGCTAAAATCTTTGGGATATTCAATGATTGACGAAATAAAACTCAAAAACTGGAAAAATGAAAATGGTGATATTGTGTTTAAATGTAAAGATAACGCAACGAAATGCGTACAAAAATAAAGATAACGCTTCCATAATTATCCGAACGATTTATAGGTACACATACAAAAATATGTTCTGTTATAAGAAAACGATGGAAAACTATTTTAGAAACTTTTTTAAATTTATAAATAATGGAGATTAATTTTGATATTCTAGATAGTTGATTTTTTAATTGTTGTTAATTTCGAAATTTTTTCTGATTCTTTGCAAATTAATTATTTTCAGTTCGTAAATTTAAATAAAAGTTTTACAAGGTATATATTTTCTTCTTAACTTAAATTTTCAGAAAATATTCGATACATTTTAGTTGTATTTAACTGTATTTTATTTTAACACTTTATTTTTGGTATAGTGGTAATTAATTTATAATAGCTTTCAATTGCTTTCATTTATAATAGCCTTCTATAATTAGCTAGGAATTAATGGAAATTAATGGATTACTAATTTAATTAAAGGTTGTATTATGCTGGAACTTGGGGAACATGGGTGTAATTCACTTTCTTCGAATCATTGAAAAAATCTTACTTTACTAATGTTAATTTTTTATTCTAATTTTTTCTGCCTAAGCTTAAAAAACTTATATTCGACCTTTGCTTAAAATAGAAATCTCGCTGAAAAATTTTTTTATGTAAATTTTTCCAGTTTTTTTTCAACGACAAAATGGCAATCATTGTATTATCATTATTTGGTTTATAAATTTTTACTAAATTTTTAAATTTTACTGATATTTATTGAGCAAGTAAGTCTGGTTGCAAGAGCCGTGCTGAACTACTGCGTTACTTGCAAGCTTTTTAACTTTTTAAAGTTTTCTTTATTGGTCATCATATGTTGTGATAAGTGATAAAAATTACGCACAGTCGATTGTCTATTTCAACCAATCATTGTTTTTAGAGGAATAATGATATCGCATATTGTAAATTAAAATAGAGGAAAATAAGACCATAGCAATTTCAAAACACATTTTTCCTGTTCTTTAGTGAAATTAGTCGATTTTCATAATTATCATTGCCTTCATGAATCATTGCCTTCTTGATTATCCATCGCCAAGTCACTTCGACCGAATCGCATCCATTTGACATTTGGTGCGCGTTTACCGAAACGCATCCATTTTACGCTTGGTGACCGTTTTCCGAATCTCATCCATTTTACACCTGAAGTCCGGTGATTCCTTTCCAGATCATCCTATAATTTATTTATAAATTTTTTCAAAATATTTGATCGCCATTTTAACTTGATAATTATTAATGGTAGAAGAATTTTTAGTGCAATTTTTAATTTTTAATTTTTAGCCTCAGGAAAGACTTGAATATATTAATGTTAGCAAGCAAATATAGGTAAAAAATTACTGCAATAAGTTAAGCCAATAAAGTATAAAATAGTTTTTTTCCTAAGTGAATTGTAGATTTGATTTGGGATCTATCGCACCGGCTGGATTCTGCTGCTGGAATCCAGTTGTAGCTTTATTTCCGAGTAATTCTACGAAGCAAACCAAATCAGAAATGGTATGTACAGTTAAAAGAAAAAGGCTTTTAAATCACAAAAAATTACAAAGATGGAAATGAAAATATGATGATGAGGAAAATATAAAAATGAATTTTTGCGAATTTCTGAATTCTATGTTGCCACATTCCTAATCATTTTTTAGATTTTCTAGATGTTATTCAGATATTTAGACAAAATTCTATAAGTTCTTCGATTTCACAATTCTGAACAATTCATCGCAGATGATGGCTTTATATTTGCTGAATTTGTGGGTTCTCACTTCGTTTATTGTAGAAAAAAGTATTCGTTTGCTCACTTCGTGCACAAGAGGTTCTTTTCATACAAATAAAATTTTAGATTTCTTGCTGTTATAGCAAATTATTTGGTTATATTGGGGAATCCTTGAAAATTATTAAAATGAAGTCTTATAAAATTAAGAAGAAAATAAAACATGAAAAAAAACATTCTCAGAGAATTAACGAATTAACGAATGCGAAAAGATGGTTTATTTATTTATATTTTATTTTTTATTAATATTAAATAATTTAAAATTTTACTTGCAAATTAATATTTTATTAAATTATTTTCAATTTACAGTTTCCGCAATTCATAAAATTCGAACTAAAGGACGTTTTATACAAAAATAAAATTAGAGATTTACTCCGATTGTTCAAAAAATATCTTAAGAGAAAAAAGAAATCACCACTGGGTTAGGTAAAAATAAGAAATATTTGCGAAAGGGTTACGTATGAATAAAAGTGCAGATACACGTAAGCACCAGCCACTTTCTAAATTACGGGCCTACTCTTGTCGATACGTGGGTTCCGAACCATGAAATGGGGGACCACAGGGTCCCGCCATTAATCATCAATATTCTTAAAAAATTAATAAATTTAATTTTTTCGTTCTCCTGTCTTAAAGATATGGATAGTCGAGTGATAGTCGAGTCTGCTTCGATCTTTATCGAGCAAAAAGTTCGATCCTACGGCGCTAACAGGAACTTCAACAACACGAAAAAGAACAAATCTTCTTTCTACAAAAACAATCCAGTTGTATTTCTACCGTTAAGTAAATGGATAAAGACAACAGCGCTGATTAAAAATTAGATAGCCATCCTAACCAGAAATGGTGAGGGCTAACCCCTGGCTTACTTCATTTTTTATGGCTCATTCTTTTAAAAAATAAGAAATACTATTTTGCAATTTTGCAATTTGTAATTATAAATTGTAAAGGACTTAAAGATGGTGATCAGATATATTCATAAATTAACAATTTAACCATCCATTATTTTTTTATTTTATTTTTGGTTAAATAACCGTTTCTATTCCATGAAATACCAAAAATCACACCGTAACACCTTCAAATTTCAAAAGAGCACCGTCTCGTATCGTATCCATTAATTATATTTGCTAAACTAATCAATCAATCAAACACCTTTAATAACAAGTATGTCAAAGAAAAAACAACTAACATCGGCAAAAAGGAATGGTTCAACAGTTTTAGCGTAAGCGAAAATGGTGATAATCAGTAATATCAACGAGGATACTTGTATACCGTTCATCGTTCTTTTCTCCAAAGGCTAATTTTTCTGAAATTTTTATGGAATGTGGCTACGACAATTTTTTGCGCAGTTCACTAACCAAGTTAAAAACGATTGATAAGAAGAAATTGATTTCATTCATTTACGATTTCATTTACAATTTCATTAGCAATTTATTTGAAGAAATTATCAATATATTTCATAGTAGAAGCAGTAAAAAAAAAAAAATCAGTAAAAATTCCTCAACAATATGTTTTATATGTAAACATTTTTTATAAAAAATAACTCTAAAAATTAATAAAAAATCCTTTTTCCTTCACTATTAAAGATATGCAATTATGTATGGTTACTGAGGAGGGAAGAAATATTAACTTATGGTTGCTACGTAGGAGAGGGGGTTTATTCATATGTTGTTGATTTGGAGGAGGAGCTCTAAGAACAATGGACTGGGCCAATTGAAGAAAGGAACGCAAATGTGCATTTCCACCTCCTTAACGTCTTCTCCTCGATCAAGCAGTCCTGACAAATATGATTCTAAATAGAAACAATAGATAATAAAATATTTTTGTGAAGGAAAAAAAATTATTTATGAAATTCCAGTTGAAAATTTTTTAAAATGAACGCATTTTCATCTAAGCATTAAAATTTAATGTTTTAATAAATATCAATAAAAATTATCTTTGGTCGGACTGAACAGCTTGGATGACGTCTTACTCGTATAACCAGCGGAGCCATCCTACAATCCTAACCAGTAATGGTGAGAGCTGTTAGAAGAAGAAGAAGAAATTATTTTTGTGATGATTTAAGAACACTGATTATGAATTAAAATTGATTAAAGAATTTGTAAGAACGCTGTATTCAGAAATAATTGGTCATAATTTATTTTATTTTTTCCAATATTCGATGATTAATAAAAATAATGATTGAAACCGATTTGATGCGACTTACTGATTTAAAATCTAGTGAGTTGTCGCAAAAACTTTTTGATTACTTACTTATTTAAAAGATCAAAACCATAGTCGTAAGCGTTATACTATTAGTAATAAATTTAAAAGAATACTTAAAAAATCCGAATGTAGCCGAACGTTCAACGCACTTCCAATTGGCAAAAATTTGCCATCGTAACAACCAGTGGAGTGAGCCAATTCAGAAATAATAAGTACTTACCACTCATTATATTAATAACCAACTAAATTATATATAATACATGAAATAAATCTGCAATAATTTTCAAATTAGTTTACTTCGAAAATTTTTTTCCCATATTTCCCATATTTTTCATTAACTACACTTATGAAAAAAAATCTTTTTGAAAAAATCTCATTCGATTCCTTACATTTCCTTCGCAACTAAATTAAAATGCCGACTCCTAAAAGCGTTATAATTTGGTTCTTTTTAAAATATCCAAACTTATTTAAAATATTTAGAATGTTTCAAACTCTTAAATATTAAAATATCCAAACTCTTCAATTTCTTATAAATTTTATTATAATTATGTTTTTTTAAATAGATTTTTAATCATCTTTTTTATATTTTTTTGTAGTTTTTTATAGTTCTTTTAAAAATTACATAAATTTATAAATTAATTTTTATAAATTTTATAACAAATAAAACAAATTTATATAAATTTGTTAAGTTTAAATAAATTATATAAATTTAAAACAAATTTATATAAATTTTTATAAATAAATTATAAAAATTATTATCTTTATTGTTGTTCTAATGCTTTTCCTGTTTAAAAATATATTTTCATTTTTTATTCAAGTTTTTTAAGAATAGAACTCTGGGAAATACAAACCATAATTTTTTGTTGATATTTTTTGTATTGAAATAAATTGCTAATAGAATAATAATAAATAAAAAATGGCCCGAAATTTCGATTAACCATTTTTATTTTCCTCAGCTCTCAGCCTTTAATCCAACCAATAATAACAAAAATAAAAGAAAAAAGAAGGGAAAAAAAACAATTTTTAACATCACTTTATTTAGCTCTTAGAATTAAATTTAGATCAAATATCTTATTTTGTCGATTATTTAAGGAATGCTTACCATTTTTCCTTAAAAAATCAATTCCGCGAATATTTGGCTGATTGATTTTCTTTATATTCAGTTGTTTGTTGATTATTGGCTATAAGCATATGTATAGCACTCCTAACGAAGGAGTTTCTAATAACCAATTTAATAACCATTCCAGAAACCAAGCAAACCAACATTAGTGCTATTAGAAAAAGAATCTTATAAAACCTTTATTCAGATGAAAAAGATTAACTTTTTGATCAGATGGTTCTTTATTAAGATCAAACGTTATGGATGGTAATAATTGAATTTTATAAAGGTTTAGTTCTTAAATGATCCACAAATTTAACTTGAGAGCTGGGATTTTATCTTAAGTTTTGCCGAATGTGCGAATGGATCCGAGACATCCAAGATCATCAGGCATGGCTCTAAATCGGACGTTTTGCCCTACTCAAATATAAATTAAATAGCAAAATAGAGACCAAGTGGACTACAAGGATAGAGTAGGAAAGATCATCGTTTTTTCATATTTTGTATTTTGTAGAAAAATTTTATATAAAACGAATAAAAAAGCGAATAAAAAAGATAATATTGATAGAAATTTTAAATTTTAATTACAGTTGAATAATTGAATAACCCTTAGAATAAATTTATTTTTAGTTGCGAAAAATTTTTTTTATTCTCAATTAATCAATTGTTTGAACAAATATCAGCGATAATTTTACGATTCGCTGTTGCTGAGAAGCAATCTTAATATAAATTTTATATTAGTAGGGCTTTCGATCAGCACTTATTTTTCATAATACTTCATAGTCGCATATTAAATAAATTGGATTAGCGCTCACCACTTCTGATTAAGCTCGTTTTTGACTGTTAATCTGATAAAAATGCGAATAGTAGAAGTGCAATCCATCTCCAGCACCATGAGAGATCTTTTAATGACAGGTGAATCCCTGATTCTCAACAGGATTATGCGAACAGAAATCATATGACCATATTGCTTCCTAATTAAAATTTTTTACAGCTGTTCTTTTATAAAGCAAATTTGTCATACTTTACTTGGCCAGATACTTTGCCAAATTAATATATATTCAAAAAATTCCAGAATGATCCAATATGTTTATGGCATTCTTTGTTTTGGTTATTGCGGTTATTGGCAGATCTAATCAACAAGAAATATTTGCTTATGGAAACAATACAGCTAGCTCAATTTCTGGATATAAATACAAATATTCCATGTTTCTCTAAAAAATCTCTTTCTCACTCCGTGGTAAGAATTGCCTTCAACCTCGAGTCCTCTACCAGAGGCCTGGGAGATTGATGATGCATTATCGTTAGTTGTTTCTAGAAGTGCGCTCTTCTGGGCACAGATCTTTAATGTTTTTTCTGCTCCAGAATCGATTGGAACTACTTTTCCAGTTTAGGAGTCACAATTCCAAATATTCCTATTTTTAATCTTTCGATTTATACCATAATATTACTTCTTTAAAAAGAAAGTGTATTCTGAACTGGAATTTAACCTTACGCTTGGTCATTAATTATGAGAATTGATCCGAGATATCCAAGGAATCAGTTATTTTCAGGCATGGTACTACGTCGGATATTTTGCTCTACTCATTAGCGATGCCAGCTAGGCCAGCAGTAATGCCAGCTGTTGGATTGGAGTCATAATATACCATAATAATAAATTAGTAAAATGGATAGTTGTGTATCATTATAATTATAGTAAAAAATGAAAATGTCATTCTAGTGCGACGGAAACAAGTCTCAATCTTAAATTTGAAATACGACATTAAGACAGTAAACAAACGGCGATCTCCTTTTATTAAGTTATCAGAATTAAAAATTTTTAAAAATTCGTCATCAGGAATTATTGAAATATTTTACCATTTTAATTTTCAATTCTAAAAATCGTTTATATTTAAAATAAAATCAAATTTTTGGTGAATTTTTAGTGAGTATGAAAAACTGAAGAAAAGCACAATTTTGCATGATATATTATAATTGTTTGGCTAAGCTAAGATAGCCACGAAGACATGGATTAGGCATAGGCATCATGGATTCGGTTCGCTTTGGCTGTAATGAAATATGAAATTTTAATAGATTACAGAATAAGAAGAGATTATCTCGATTATCTTATATTTGAATTATCTCTCATAAAAATCATGAGGATATTTATTCGATAATAAATAAATATCGCAAGGGTGCTTATTAATTTAAAAGTATAAGCCAATAAAAAAAGGCTTAGTGCTTCGTTTTTTAAAACATAAAATAAATGCGCTGAGATGGGTTTCATGATAGGTTGTGTGAATTTCTGAAATAATATTTTTTTTAATTTTTTTAAAACTAATATTGAATTCATATATAGTTATTCCATATTCAGTGTTTTGTTTGAGCCAATGATCCAGAAAGCCTCAAAAAGGGAAAATACATTTGATAAAAATACATAATAACAAAAATACATTCGAAAAAGAGCCACCATATTTAATCAAAATTAAATATTCGATTGTGATAATGATATTGCTGAAAATATGGACTGGTAATGGAAGATTAATAAGTATATTAAAGAACAAAAATGGATTCAAGAAAGTGACAAGAAAATCCTACAATACAAAATCCTACAAAATCCTAGAATTATACCTAGAATTTTAAGAAAATTAAGAATTAAGATTAAGAAAATTACCGCTGGGAAATCAGCTTGGTAAAATCATATTAGCGATTTATAGCGCAAAGCATTTGGAAAAAAAAATTACAATGAAGCTTATTCGGTTATTTAAAATTATTATACTAACTTTAGTTTACAAGTTTATAATTGCAGGCGATTTAATTATGGACTTTTTT